TCGGCTGCGGCAGCAGTGTCGCGATTGCGGCGGCTCGTCGGTCTGCGAGCATGCGCGGCTGCGGTACCAGTGCCGCGACTGCCTCGGGTCATCCTTCTGCGGGCATGGACGGAGGCGGGCGCACTGTCGCGACTGCACCAATTTTGTGTGTAAAATTGAGGGCTGTCCTCGGCAAGATCTCCCCTTCGCCGGAGCGCGGAGCTTGCTGCGACACATGCAAACGATGCACGGCGACAACCCGCGCGCAGTGACCAAGAGTAAGGAGCTTGAGGTGCACCAAGCACTCCGCGACGCGCAGATCGCCTTTGAGTACCAGCACTACCTGCCCTTCCGCGGCTGCGGGTTGGAGTCGGAGACGGCCCACGCCTTCGCGGACTTTGCCCTGCCGACTCCGTGGGGCTACGTCCTGCTGGAGGTTGACGAGGAGCAGCACAAAGCCTACGACCCCAGCTGCGACGTGCGCAGGGACTTCGACATGGCCGCCAGCGTGGCGCTTGGCAGCGGCCACAAGCTGCTGGTGCTGCGCTACAACCCGGACGCCTTCAAGATCGCCGGCGTGACGCGGCGGACCACCAAGAAGGAGCGCCGCGCACAGCTGATCCGCCTGCTGGGAGAGCTGTTGGCGCGCGAGCCGGAGGCGCCTTTCACCCGCCTCTTTCTCTTCTACGACCGGGCCGCGGAGAACAGCGCGCTGCCCTGCGTGGCGGAGAACTGGTCCGAGCCCGTGCGCGCCGTGTCCCGCTGCGCATGATAGTCCCCCAGAGACTAAAAGGCTGGCATGCAACTGAAGTACATGGGAAGCAAATCCTGGCTGGCTCCACACGTGGACCTGCTGCTGGGGGACGTCGCTGTGCTTCACTCTCCCTTCTTCGGCTCTGGAAAGCTGGAGTACTACCTCGCCGCCCGCCGTCCGGCCCTGGTGGTGCGTGGTGTCGACGCCTTTGAGCCCGTCGCAAACCTGCACCGCTGCTACTTAAGGCGAGACCCGGTCTTCCTGCGCTCTTTGCTGCGCCTGGCGGGGCGCAAGATAGACAGGCGCTTCTACTTCAGTCGCCTCCTGCCGGGCGCTCAGAGAGGCCGCGCCGGGCGCCGGGCCGCCTGCTCGTACGTCCTGCTGCGCAACAGCTTCTCGGGAAAGTGGGGCTCCTTCACACAGCAGCGGCCGCTGGGGCTGAGCAGCGTGCGGTGTATGCAGCGGCCACCGCGCAACGTGACCGTGCAATGCCAGGACGCACTGGGCTATCTGCGCGCTCTGCCCCGCCAGGCGCCCCGACAGGCCATATATGCCGATCCTCCCTACATCTTCCTATGGCACGAGGAGGCGGGGGCATGACCTGGCCTTCCACTCGGAGCTCCGAGACGCTCTCTTCGCAAGCGGCCTGCCCTTTGTTCTGAGCATCAACGACGTGCCTGAAGCCTGGGAGCTCTACAGCAGGGCCGGCTCCATCACAAGGCTGTGCTCTGGCAAGAACGGCTCCAAGCCCGAGCTGCTGGTAGTGCACCGGGGCAATCCTGCTGTGGGGACAGGATTGAGTGAAGCAATCCTGCGCCCACAACAGGATTGAAGCTGCAATCCTGTGCCCAACCCAGGATTGCCAGGCCCGCACCAGGCCCGCACCAGGCCCGCACCAGGCCCGCACCAGGCCCGCACCAGGCCCCAATCCGTGTGGAGCGAGGTCGGATTTCCGACTTCGGTGGAGAGAATTTTGGCTCTTAGGGTGATCAGGGGCGGACCCGGGAGGAATCGAGCCCGAGACCTTTTTAGGAACGGCTTTGAGACAAGCATATGACTACTGGCAGGATCAACCAGGTTTTCCAAACCCTGAACTCCAGAGTTCCAAGGTTCCAAAGTCTGGAGTTTCGAGGTTCCAAACCTTGAACTTTGGAGTTTCGAGGTTGCAGACTCTAGAGTGTTGGTTCCAAACTCCACACCGAAGCCGCGGAGCTGGTTTCGCTTTTCCAAGCCTTTTGCGCACTTTTCGGCCCCAAAGAGAGCGGTGACGAAGCGGTGACATCGCGGTGAGACCGTTCTTGGGCCAAAAAGCGCCGTTTTGGGATGGTAACGAGAGCCTATGGTGACATGGCTTAGGCGTTGGTCTCCGGAGCGACGTTTCGGAGGTTCGATTCCTCCCCGGTACCTCGGCGGGCTGACGTGTTAGAGACCGGTGACATGGGCGGTGACTAGTTCAGCAGGCTGACGTGTTACGCGGGAGAACCTCGGCAGGCTGACGTGTTATGTGGGAGCACCTCGGCGGGCTGCCGTGTCAGACCCGGCGAAATCAGTGGTGTGCCTCGGCAGGCTGACGTGTTAGAGACCGGTGACATTGGCGGTGACAAGATCAGCGGGCTGGAATTCGCAGGCTTTTCGGGCTAGAAAACGGATTTCGGAGCACGGCGAACACCTGGAGCCGGTTTTCGGCGGAAAACGAGCGAATTTGGAGGCCCAGGCAGCAAATTTGACGCCGGACACGAAAAACGCACTTTTCGGAGTTCGCCGTTTTCAGCGCTTTTTGCTCCAAAAACGGAGCGGTGACGAAGCGGTGACTTCGCTGGTGACAAGTTCAGCGGGTTGGAAATTATGCAGTTTTGGAGCGTTTTGGGACCAAAAATCCCAAATAATTAGGTTACTATAAGCAGACATTCCTTACTACTCCCGGCACACCTCACGGAGGAGCAGGGGCGCAGCGGGTCAGGCAGCAGGT